ACCAACAGTTAAACTCCCACTGCCCCACATGATGTTACGATGTGGAATACCGAAAACCAAAAATCACAAAACCATGACAAGGCGGTACTCTCTGTAGTGGATTTCATAGTGTCTTTTGTGTTGTTGAATTGATTTCAGTTAAATCCAAAGTCTTTTGCATAATTCAAGGCAGCTGAATGCGTAGAATTATAACTCCTCTTTTCTTCTTCCTCAGAAACTTGTGGATTTTTGTCTCCAAGTTTACAGAATTTGACGCCAGAAAGCTGCACAAACTCTACAAACATGCAATCAAAAAGCGCCAAGAGTCTCAGGTAAAATTTTAAACCCTCTCTAAATATACAAGCGTATATTTTTTAGTGTTACAGCACTTAAATTAGATTTAAAGTATACTCAGGAACACAGAAAAATCCATTCAACTCAAGTAATTACTTTGTGTTTGTAGTAATGTAGTCTCTTCTGTTACGATCTTTTTCTAAAGAATTCACATTAACTTTTAGACTCACCAATGAGTTTATGTATTTGTCTCTTTTAGCAGCACAATGACCAAAACATTAGCAGCAATGTGAATACACATGTAATCAGAAATCCAGGTAAGAAATCTTAAGTATATTCTCATGCTGAACATAGACTAAGCTTGTAATGGGTTTAGTAGCAAGTTACTTGACTGTCCTTTTAAATAAATTGGAAGCCTATTTTTTTTATTTAGTTTTGAGGTGGTAGTGATGTCTACTTAAAAGCTGTAAATTTTGTAGAAACTCTCTGCCTATTTGTAGCTGTTGTAATGTTACCATAGATGTGGCAGAGAAAGAGAGCTATGTTTTAAGGTCATAGTTTTTAATTAGGTATATGGGATGTCTTTTATTGCTGTTAGTTACGCTGATTTTTTTATTTTTGTTTCCATACTTGCACTGTTGCAAAATATTATACAAAAAACACGTGTTATCATGGATTTAAAATCAACATATTGTAGGAACGCTAGTAAAAGTCTTTCATTAACTACTTGTGCATGTAAAATGTTTTCTTTTCATTAGGCCCTTCCCTCCTTAGAGAGGAAGTTGGTACAGTTCTAAACCTACTCTACCAAAGGCACTACTCACTGATTGTTTGGATCACTCTTCGACTCTTCATTCAGTTTCTAAGGCCAAAAAGCTCAGTTCCTGAGCCCTACACACCTACATTTCTGGTTTGCATCCTGCTTACCTCCAGGGTTTCTTTCATTCACAGTAATGCATTTGTCTTGCAACCATTTAGGTCGTGTTTCTGTCAAATTATAATTTCATTTTTACATTGCTTTAAATCAAACAGGTAGAAGTGCTGTTTAAATTGAGTGAAGAAAAGAATTTATAATGTGTGAGACTTCTTTATAACCTCTTCTTTATTAAACAGATGTGGAAAGACTGAAGGAGACTACAAACCACGATGACAGTAGCAGGGATAGTTATTCTTCAGATAGACATTTATCACAGTACCATGATCATCACAAAGACAGGCATCAGGGAGATGCTTATAAGAAAAGTGACTCTAGGAAAAGGCCATATTCAGCCTTCAGTAATGGAAAAGATCACAGAGACTGGGATCACTACAAACAGGACAGCAGGTGAGTTTCTGCAACAACAGTAAAATCTGTTCAAAATTCTCTTCCTGTTTTTGTAGTATGCATACAGCAAGCACCAGTGCTTGAGTATACAAAGCTTTTTGAGTAATGCAAAATTACAAAGACAGTGTATCTCTGATGTAGATCTGTTGAACTGATATAACTGTAGATTTTGCTGTGTGTTCAGTAGCACTTTTCTAATATAAAATCTTTTGGTTTTTAGATACTACAGTGATAGTAAACATAGGAAGTTAGATGACCATAGGAGCAGAGACCACAGATCAAACCTGGAAGGAAACTTAAAAGACAGCCGGGGTCATTCAGATCACCGCTCCCATTCAGACCACAGGATACACTCAGATCACCGTTCCACTTCAGAATACAGTCATCATAAATCTTCAAGAGATTACAGATACCACTCAGACTGGCAAATGGACCACAGAGCTTCTGGCAGTGGCCCGAGGTCACCACTAGATCAGAGGTCTCCTTATGGTTCAAGGTCTCCCCTAGGACACAGATCTCCATTTGAACACTCGTCGGATCACAAAAGTACACCTGAACATACATGGAGTAGCCGGAAGACATAACAAAGACTGACATTTTCTGGACCTTCTTTT